TTTAAAGTTTATAAGTTCAAACTTACAATTGAACTCATAGCTCGTTTTAATTATCGGATTCGTAATTAAATATAAAATATTTATATTGAATTCATTCAAATTTATACCGGATACTCTAGCTCCGCTCTTGCTCAACACGAGCATCACCTACCAACAAGGGTTGTGGTGGAGTGGTAAGTACTCCTTCATCCTTAGACGTCTCGGGTTCGAGTCCCTGAATATGGAGTCGCCATTGTTAGGGAGCGTTTTGCCCCCAATGTGAGACTTTTCGGCACGAATCCGAATTTAATCGCCCCATATTCACCGGGTGGGAAATAAATTAAAAAAAAAACACGAGCATCATCTCACCTAGTACTTTGTTACAAATGTCAATCTTAGAAGAGGTTGGTGAAAGAAATATAGTGCTCCTAATATTCTCTATTGTATCCACAAAGGCAAACTGAACCAGAAAAAGACAAACATTCCTAGTCAGTGAGAAAGTGATAATATAAATACTCCTTTGCATCCACTAGCAGCTGAGCCACGTGATGCCCTCCTTTTCTATATAAAAGAGTATAACTTTTTTTTGATTTCCCATTTGGTGTTCGGTAATGTAACGATCCGACCGGTCGTTCTGAGCTTTTGCACTTTGATCGCCAGTTCTCGGGCATGACTTGCCCCGTGTTATGTGTTATGACTAATGTAGGTCGTTGGTTTTGGTTTCAGGAAAATTTGGAATGAATTTGAAAGGACAGTTCAGTTGAAAGCTTTGAATTTGAAAGGTTTGACCAAGAGTTGACTTATTTGTATGTGAGCTCGGATCGGAGTTTTTATGATTCGGTTAGCTTCGTTGGGTGATTTATGACTTAGGAGTGTGATCGGAAGTAATTTTGGAGGTCCGGTGTAGAATTAGGCTTGAACTGGCGAAGTTAGTATTTTGCCGAATTCCAGTTGATAGGTGAAATTTGGATCCGGGAGTCGGAATGGGATTCCGAGAGTTGCTGTAGCTTCGTTAGGTGATTTGGGATGTGTGTGCAAAATTTCAGGTCATTCGGAGGTGTTTTGGTCGGGTTTTTGATCAAATGCGTGTTTCGGAAGTTTTAAAAGAACTTAGGCTTGAATTCGATGTAATTTGACGATTTTGGTGTTAGTTGAGGTGTTTTGATGATTGGAGCAAGTTTGAATAATGTTTTAAGATGTGTTGGTACTTCTGGTTGAGGTCCCGGGGGCCTCGGGGTGAATTCGGATGGCCATCGGGATGATTTTGGACTTGGTGATTTCTGAAGATTTGCTGATATGTGGTATTTCCGCATCTGCGGAAAAGGAGCCGCAGATGCGGTTCCGCAGATGCGAAGTCTAGGGGCGCAGATGCGAGTGTTGGCCTTTTTGGAGAAATTTCGCAGAAGCGGATGGTTTCTGCAGGTGCGGTCTACGCAGGTGCGGCTATTGAGCGCAGAAGCGGTCCGTGTGTGTGAGGGAGGTTCCGCAGAAGCGGGTGATTGACCGCATAAGCGATGTCCGCAAGAGCGATATTTGACCGCAAAAGCGGTCCTTGGCCTAGTAAAGATCCGCAGAAGCGGAGGAAGAATCGCAGAAGCGGTAGTCGCAAATGCGGTAAAGCAACCGCAGATGCGAAAATGACTGTTCAGAGAAGGGTTTTAAAAGCTCATTTTGTTCCGCGAGCTAAGGGTTATTTCCACCATTTTTGATCGACCTTGAGAGCTTTTGGGCAGAAATGGAAGGGGATTTCGACTAGGTGTGATTGGAGGTGAGTTCCTTGACCTTATTACATGATCTAATGGTAGAATTAACATAGAAATTTGTGAAAATTCATAAAAAGGGGGAAAAGTTAGGGCTTGGAATTTGGTATTTCAAATTGGATTTTGATGGGTCATTTCGACTCGGATTTGGGAGTTCTTGATATGTATGGACTCGTGGCGAGATAAGAAATCCGATGATGTTAAATTTTCTAATTTTCGAGAAGTGGGCTTTGGGTTTTCAAATTTCGTGATTTTCGATGTTTTTCGATTCTTTTCGATTGGGTTATGTCCCCTTAGCCTATTGTGATGTATTCGCTCTGATTTTGGATAGATTCGACGCACGCGGAGGCCGATTTGAGGGGCAAAGGCGTCGCGAGCTAGAGATTTCACCGGTGCGAAGTGAGTAATGATTGTAAATGATATCCTGAGGGTTTGAAACCCCGGATTGCATACCGTAGTGCTATATTGAGGTGACTTGCACGCCGGATATCGAGCGTGGGGTAGAGCACCGTTGGGAGATTGTGACTTGGTCCGTCCCGATTGATGATTTTACCGCGTATTTGACTGAAACTTATTTGTTATTATCATGATTTGGGCTGATTGCCATATTTGGGCTTCGTGCCAATTATCTGAACCCTTCGAGGATTTTTATCGCTGTTTCCTCACTATTTTGATATACTACTTGAACTCAGTCCTGTTGATTATACTGGTTTACAAACTCAGCCGCTTTAACTGAACTTTGAGACTTAAATGATATTTCCACTGTTGTTTGGGCTGAGCACTACCATTTTATTGATGCCCGAGGGGCTTATGATGTTTTCTGGACTGAGTGAGGCCGAGGGCCATATGTGAGGATATATGTGAGTGATGTGAGGAGGCTTTCAGGCCTCGAGTGTTATGTGAGGAGGCTTTCAGGCCTCGAGTGTTATGTGAGGAGGCTTTCAGGCCTCGAGTGTGATGTGAGAAGACTTTCAGGTCTTGTTTTATATGTCACGAGGTGGCTTGATATTGCGCTTGGGCCGTAAGGGGCCCCTCCGGAGTATGCACTCCCATAGTGAGCGCGGGTACCCATGTGGATCGGGCTGCACGCCGCAGCGATATGTGGATCGGGCTGCACGCTGTAGCGGTTACTATATGATATTGTTCTGAGAGTGATCTGAGAGAGAGAGCCCGAGGGGCTGAGAGTGTTTCTGAGAGTGAGCCCAAGGGGCTGGTACTGTTTTGAGATATTGCCCGAGGGGCGAACTTTTATGTGCTCATCTTGCATATTTACTTGCCTTTTTACCTGTTATACTGCGGTATTTGTGCCCGAGGGGCGGATTTTTCTGTGCTTATCAGCACTAACTATTTTGAAATCGTTTCGTAACTGTTGAAAAGATCTTTTTCAAAAGAGATTTAAACTGAGCCAATATATTTCTAAAGATTTCACAGCTTCATTGTTTTCTCAAAGGATTGTACCCTGCTTCTATACAACATGTTGGTTGCTTTACGTGATTTCTTACTGCTCAATTGTTATTTACCTTTATTACTCACTGAGTTGGAGTACTCACTTTACTCCCTGCACCTCGTGTGCAGTTGCAGGTATTTGTTCACCCAGTAGCGGGTAATGGCTGTTTGGAGGCAGAGCTGTAGTAGTTTAGCGAGGTGACTGCTAGCGTTCCCAGCACTGTTTCTTTCTATGTTATTCATTATTCCTGTTCAGTGTATTTCTAGACTTGTAAATGTAATTACATTCTTATAGATGCTCGTGACTTGTGACACCCACATTAAGGCTGTGTTGGGTTGTATTTCCGCTAATTAATACCATTAAGTCAAATTTAAGCTGTTTAATTATGGTTAACAACTTTTGAAAAGACGAGTTGGGTTAGTTGGCTGGCCTCGTCTTCACGAGATGCGCCATCACGACCAGTGCGGGGGTTTGGGTCGTGACAGGTAACCGCATTGGAGCCAGACTATATCTGCATTCGCGCCCAGTAGGACCCCATTCAGGCGATAACGCTCCTTACCAAGGATTTTTTCATAAAAGAGTATAAGTTATGCATATCATTAGCATAAATTATTTTTAATTATTAAATTACCCAAAGGATATTTAAATATAAATTTTCTTAAAATGTAAAATTTATTATACATGTTCAACCATAATATGATGGAGTAAAAATTCCTTACAGTGTGATACGTATAGGTTATTTCTCTTTCAAATTTCATACATCTCTATTACTACTTGTTGTTTGTTTCGATTCTATTATTATTATTATTTTTTTGGGTATTGTTGCTACTTCTCTTTCCTTAGTTTTTCGTCATCACTCATTACTGCTTTGATTATGCTTTCCTTGAGCCGAGGATTTACCGAAATATTCTCTCTACCTTCACAAGATAGGTATAACGTCTGGGTACATACTACCCTTTCCAGACCACACTTGTACGAATACACCGGATATATTGTTGTTATTGTTGATGTATATTGGTTAAACTTTTCTAAATATAATAGTTTTATACTCGTGAAAATGACACCATGTAGCCACTTTTAAGAATGTCGTTTAAAATATACCAAAATAATTTATAATGTATTTAAAGATTAGCCAAATTCGCTCAAACATTACGACACAAAGTCCTAGAGTTTAAACCTCAAAATTCAAACTTCATCCTAAAGTTCGAATCTTATGTCCTGTATTTTAAATTAGTAGTTCAGAAATTTAAGAAACTTGGTCCTTAATTTCAAATTAGCAGCTCAAAAATTCAGGACACTAAGTTCTGAATTTCCAAATTCAGGATACTTAGAACCCGTTTGGCTTAGCCGATTTAGAGTAGCTGATAAACATTAGGTGCTGAAAAGTAATTTTAAGTGCTGAAGCTAATTTAAAAAATAAGCAGTTACGTGTTTGGATAAAAGTGTTGAAATTTATACTATGCAGCTAAAGAACTAGGTATACGAAGAGTTTTGTTTTAAAAAGAAGTATTTTTGGGATAAAATAGTAAATATTTTGGTCAAACTTAAAGTGCTTATAAGCTGAAATTTGATAAGTTGGGGGAGACCAACTTATGGCTTTTGGCTTATTTTTGGCTTATAAGCACTTAACTTATAAGCACTTTTAATTTTACCAAACGCGTAGATAAACCAAAAAATGCTTATAAGCCAGTTTGACCAGCTTATAAGCTTAGCCAAACACGCTCTTAATCCTAAAATTTGGGTGAATTAGCTAATATTTAAATATATTATAAAATCTTGAAAATATTTTAAATAGCGGGCTATTATCTCTGCATTTCGCCCGGTAAGATCCAACTCAGAGTACCTTCCTTTTTGGAGTATAATCTCTGATTGGATATGGACCTTTTGGATCGTTAGAGTAAGAGAAGAAAAAAAGAAAATTGACACGGCATTAGTGACTAGCCTATGTGGCCTACACAATTTATGTGCTTTCATAAATTCTTTTCTCTGTTTTTTATTGGTTGGTTTATATTCCTATTAAATGGATTGTGTTCATTTTCATAACTTAGAATGAGAGAGAGGAAAGTAATTAGGAGGATTCTGATTCTTGATTTTTTATAATAAATTCTTTAATCATGCCTATTGAACTGAAATTTTCTTATAGAAAACGAAGTGATGGCATTAATCGGTGGGTTTTTTGGACTCAATGTAATGGTGATGAGTTGAACCAAGTTAAATCCCTCTTTCCAATTCTCAGTAAGTTCTTCTATTTCTCTGTTTGTGGCCTTGGTCTTTTTTTCCTTTATTTTTTCGAAATTGTATTTTTTTTGTATAATATTGGTCTAAGCTGAGATTAAATGGAGTGAAATGATTAGTGAGAATTCATATAGCCGATTCAACTTGTTTGGGATTGAGTCGTAGTTGTTGTTGTTGTTGTTTGTAATGAATTGGGAAAGGAGCTGTAAAGAAATCAAAATTAGTTAGTGGGCAGTTACTGAAAAAATTGAAAATCATTTAAAGCATATATAGCAGTGATGTCTAGTAATTTTTCTTGAGAAATATCCTACATTTTGTCCATTTTTAATGTCAATGAGATTAATGTTTCTTTTAATTTCTGTTGAGTATTAGAGATCATTAAGTTGAAGGGGAGCCTTGACGTAACTGGTAATGTTGCCGCCATGTGACCAGGAGGTTACGGGTTCGAGCCGCGGAAACAGCCTCTTGCAGAAATGCAGGGTGAGGTTGCATACAATAGACCTTTGTGGTCCGGCCCTTCCCCGGATCTCGCGCATAGCGGGAGTTTAGTGCACCGGGCTGCCCTTATTAGAGATCATTAAGTTGTTGTTTTGTTTCGAAATTCTCTAACGTCAATCTTGTTCGACTTTTCATTGAAAAGGAGATTCTACTCAACTGGATACAAATGGTGACTGTCAATTGAACAGATTGACAATCAAGAATCTAGTCGAGCTTGTTGATGTTCAAGGTACTTGTTTGATTCAATTTTGGGCACCTATAAGGATTAATGGTGGAAAGACTTTCTTAACAACAGCAGACCAGCCTTTTGCTCTTAATGGCAAGATTCACGAGGGTCTGTGGGCGTACAGGCGTGTATCTCTTCACACAATAGCGTCCGTGGATGCCACAGAGATCGATGAAACTAAACGCATACGCGTCCATGGCCGTCCAGCGCGCGTCTTCAGAAGTGGAATGCCTGAATTCAGCCCTCATGTCAGATACTATTACATGGATGAATACCCTTTGCGCGATTTTGCAATGTGTTTGGGAGTAGGTTGCTATTGGACTTTGCCAGTGTTTGAGAGTTTAGGGGACCGTTGTATTGGCGTACTGGAATATGCTTTCGAGGCAAATGAAGGTCTTGATCTTTACTCTACCTTAGACCGTCTTATCAACAATCACAGAATACTTAAGGTCTATCCTATACACCCCCTACTTTTTTGTAGAGTTTAACTTCTATATATTGTCAATATAAAAGATACTTTTACACTATCAAGTCACCTAAGAGATAGCTACAGCTGACTACGCTTTGTCAGTGTATATAAGCTAGATTGTATATCCTCATAAGCATGAGCACAATAAATGCAATGTTCTCAAGTAATTTTGTGACTGAAAAACCTTGATAAACCGAAGTCACACGACATGCATGTTGGAGTTAATTTCACTCAGATTTCAATTAAATAAGTGGAAGTTTTCAAGTTCACTACATCAAGTAACTTGAGCAAGTGAAACTTTTGATAGTCTTGAGAATTTTTCTTAGAACTCGAAAGTGAAACATTTCAAGAATTTATGGATTAGGAGTCCTCAGGATAACCACTTTTGATAGTTACCCCTTCTGTACCATTGTTATTTTCCATGTTGGCTTTGGAGGAAATTTAGAAAAAATGATTTTTGTTGGGATTCTCATAACATTAGAGTTCTTAGTCTTCTGTCCTCATTGGATTGCTCATCGTCATCAATGACAATAACGACTACTACTAAGTTGGGTAAATTCCCCACATGATTGAATATCCAAATTTGTATCGGATGATTCCTTGCAATTAGGCTTCCTCTAAATCCTCGAGTAAGCCTAGTTTGCTGTTAGTTGTTTTTCATACTGTGCTGAAACTTATATTATTTGCAGACAATGGGTCTAGCTCTCATTCCTTCATGGTTAGTATGCCCGCAAGAGGTAAACTCTCCTAATTATGCATTTCTTTATAAGCAAGTGAAAAGAATTCCCGTCATTGAGTATTTATCTTGAACAATACATAAAAAAAAAAAATAGAAGGCCAGCCCAGCTTCCGGGGAACGCCGGACCACAAGGATCTATTGTACGCAGCCTTCCCTAAGTTTCTGCAAGAGGCTGTTTCCACGGCTCGAATCCGTGACCTCCTGGTCACATGGCAGCAACTTTACCATCACGCCAAGGCTCTCCTTCTATGTTGAACAATACATGAAGTCTTTAAGTCTCTCTCTCTCTCTCCCACCTCTACTGTATTTATGTAATTTAATTTGCTCAAAGCAGATACAAGAAGTATGGGAGCAAGAACTTGCTCAAGTAAAGGAGGCTTTGGAAGTAACATGTAAGACTCACATGTTACTCTTTGCTCAAACTTGGATTCCTGTGCTTGATTCAAGTAGAACACAAATGTTGATCACCTCGCCCCCAACAAAATATTGGAGTGAAGAGATATCGTCTCTTGAATTTTTGGCTGTTAGTGACCTACATCACGTACAGATTGGTTGGAAAAGTGCTTTCATCAAAGGGTTCCTGCTTTTGCAGAGATATAACTCAATTAAGCATAGAATTTTACCCCTTAGTACCAATTGCCCGCTGTGCTGGATTTACCGCATGTTTTGCAATTTTTGTGAGACTGAATAGTGCATGCCACATGATACTAGAATTCTTTTTACCTCGTGATGAGACGCTCAATAGAAATCCACAAAGTTTCTTGAGCAAGCTATTAGCCACAATTCGAGAGCAACTTCCAAGCTTTTTCCTTGATTCAGGACCAAGCCTGTTTGTTGAGGTTATCAGAACTGCTCCTGTTGATGAGCTTGATTCCTTTGAGATAAGCCAATCACAACAAGTGGTTCGATCAAAGGGAAACGAAAAGATGGTGCTTTTTGATTCGTTGAATCAAGATTCCGCTGATTTAGGACCTTCGAGTTCAACTGATATAGGAGCTCATTACATGGAAATTGCAAAGGATACTCCTGATAACGGAGAAAAAACTGTGCTGCCAGATTCAGCACACAAACAAGGAGTTGAGGAAGCTGATGCAATGGACAAAGAAAAGAGTCCTGTACATTTCAAAGAGAATGAATTTGCCTATACTGATTCAGACATACTTGCAACATCATTTGTTGATTCAGAGCAAAATTTGTAGCAAAACTTGTCTACCGGTAAAGCTTCGCTTGATGAAAAACTTGATTCCTTCGAAATAGGCCATCGTCAACTTCCCTCGATGGTACAATACGACACCATCAATCAAATATTTGGTTTTGATCCTTCAAGTTCATCTGATTTAGAAGAAATTATAACTGCGGATTATGGACGGGATACTCAAATGAATCTTCAGTCAAAGAAGAGAGGAGAAAGTATACTGCCAGATTTGGCACATCAGCAGAGAGTGGAGGAAGCTGATGTAGCGGACAAACGAAAGCATTCTGTGCATGTCGAAGAGAGTATAAATTCCCATAATTGTTCAGAGAAACATAAAAGGATAAAGAGAATAGAAAAGGAGTATGGTATTAGTCGTAGTGTTCTAGAAGAACAATTTGGAAAGAAACTTTCTGATGCTGCAAAGAGTTTAGGAGGTAAGCATATCTTTTCAATATAGGCATTTTGTAACTTCATAAACATTCACCAAGCTTGATGCTAACTTTTTTTCTTGCAGTTGCTCGAAGTACCTTGAAGCGCATGTGCAGAGACTACGATATATACAGGTGGCCACGTAGTAATTCTGCAAATGATGTATGCTCGCTTTCTGAAAACAAACCAGTAAAAAGAGTTGAAAAACAGACGGGGAATTCCAGTCGAGAAGACCTGCAACTACCACATGCTAGTCTGTCTAATGGAATGGATACAACTGCGACGTTGACTCAGAGGAAGGTGCCTATGGCTACATTTCAGAGCGACAACACCATGAGCGTAAAGGTAACTTACAAAGATGTGACCATAAGGTTTCCGCTCTCTCTTTCATCGGGGAAAATTGATTTGGAAACAGAAGTTGAGAAGAGATTGAAATTAGTTCCGGTTGGAAGTTATTCTATTAAGTATGAAGATGAAGATAACGATTGGATTGCAATAACATGTGATTCAGATTTAGAGTATGGAATACACACTTTAAGATCATTAGGAAGAACTACAATGAAGATGTTGGTTGAGCCCTTGAATTAATTTTACTGATTATGTACATGTCATATGTCCCCTATTTTTAGTGTTCATGCACCATAGTACAATAGACACTTGTACGAGCCGTGGAAACAGCCTCTTGCGGAAATGCAGGGTAAGGCTGCGTACAATAGACCCTTGTGGTCTGACCCTTCTCTGGACCGCGCGCATAGCGGGAGCTTAGTGTACCGGACTGCCCTATTCACCATATTTTTCGCATCAGTTTAAAGCTTTCCTTAGACCAATGCTTTTTAGTTACTAATGTTAATACGTGGTTGTAACGTGTTAAATGCTAGGATTTTGTTATCTTGTAATTGTTCTACATCTGGTAGGATCCCTAGATTGTATTATACGTTTCTTCGGTCTGTGCTGGATATGTTTTATGTCTCTCTTGTTTGTGTTCTTCTAGATTATATGCGCGCGTAAGTTAGCTAAGGATCTACCCCAAACATTTTCCTAGCAGCAGTGTCTCTTTCTACTGATAGGTCACACGTTCAAGCCCTGGAATCAGTCGAGATGCTTGCGTCAGGGTAGGCAGCTTTACACACCCTTGGGGTGCGATGTGTCCCTTCCCTGGACCCTGCGTGAACTCTGGTTTGTGCATTGGGCTGCCTTTTTACTCTCTGATTGTGCTGCTTTTGCTGCTTCTTTGGTATCTATAATAAACTTTGTTTTTCTTCTATTTCTCCCGCTTTAAACTCTAACCCTCAGTTATTCTTTGTCTAGAGTTGATCTAAATAACAAAGTTTATCTCCCATTTATTATCTTTTCTTTTTGTCTCTTTTTTTTTTCATTTTTTTTTTCTGCCTTGTGTTTTTTTTCTTGGTTATGTTATTTTTCTTCTTTAGTAGTTCTATTGTGATAAGCTATTCAGATTAATGAACGGAAAGATATTTCTCAAGGAGATTGCAGCTTGGAATATTATCCATCTGATTTCCTATGGATTCTCTCCGCACTTTTCATTGTGTATGTTGAATTTATAGGAGAAACTGTCAAATGAATTTAATATATTTTTAAATTTGAGAAATATTAGTATAATTTAATGACTTTGAGGATGAAAATAAATTATTTTATAGTAAAAGGTTGGTAGATATTTCTTTTATGTTTAAAACTGAACGAGCAAAGTAGATTAATTTGTTTTGGCATTTTTTAATTTTATTCTTCTTATTTTATGAAAGCATTAATATTTGAAGAGAAAAATTAATTTACATACACATATTAAATGTACAGAGTACAAAATCGTATGTTAAATTAATACAGATATGCACGTAAAGAGATCAAGTATTTCTTTACATGTTTTTTTATAAGAAAACTGAGAAGAAATGTTTCACTTTTATAAATTTATTAAATTTGAAGACTAAAAAGGTATTTAAAATTTTAGTTTGAGATATTATAATATTTGGCTATTATAAAAAGTTAATGAGTTAATTTAACGATTTTTTTATTAACGCGCAAAACGCAGACGAATTAGGTGATTTTGGAAGCAACCATAATTTAAATACCAATATATTCTTTTTGACTTGGTTCTAATTGCATCAGTTAGATCAAGTTGATATAACGTCACACTATTTTAACTTAATTGTTAGTCATTGTCAAGAAGATTAAAAAAAGACTAATTCACACTAGTCAATGTATACTTCATTAAAGAAATGTATCACTTCATTGAATGAATGAATGTCACGGCCCTAAAACCGATCCGGTCGTGATGGCGCCTATCGTGAAACTAGGTCAGCCGACACATTTCCGAAATAATTCACATTTTATTTAAAACTTAAATAAAACCGTTTTCAACTAAAATTCCTTAAAGGACATAAAGTCAAAACCAAAATAAAAGCGGAAAGATACAAGCCCGACCTCGGGTGTCACTAAGTCATGAGCAATACTACATTTGTTCCAAAACACAACTAGACCAAAATAGTCTAAAATATACAAAATATACTAGAAGGAAGATAAGGAAGGAGAAAGGCGGGACTGCGAATGCCAGGCAACCTTGCTATCTCCGGTGAAATCAGCGTCTGGAATAGTCAACAGCCACTACCCTGGCCTGAGATACCTGGATCTGCACACAAGGCGCAGGGAGTAACGTGAGTACACCAACTCAGTAAGTAACAAGTCCAAACTATGGACTGACAGGTAGTGACGAACCAAACCTCAATAGGTAACACAATTAAACTGTACAGTAATTAGGCATGTGTGCAGTTCAAGTATTCAGCTCAACAGTAAGTAAATACAGATCTGAACAGGGGAAATATAAAGCTCAATAAATCTCTATGTACCAATGCACAGAAAACATGAAAATGTACCATGTACCACCACTCGATACAGTATATGGCCATCCGGCCCAGGGAAGATCCATCCCGGAATATATACACATCACTAACAACAGTCACCAGTACCGAGGAAGGCCGTTCCAGTCCTATGGAGAAGATCTATCTCCAGGTATAAGTATTTCGAACAAGATCCATGCCCAGGGAAGATCCATCCCTCAATAATATCAACTGCGCTCACTGGAGGTGTACAGACTCCAGAGGGGCTCCTTTCAGCCCAAACGCTATAACAAGCCAACGAAGGCATAATCAATAATCCGTTGCGGCGTGCAACCCGATCCCATACTGTCACTCATAATCAGGCTCTCGGCCTCACCCAGTCATCACTCTCCAGTCTCACACACATGGGCTCACAATGCCATAATACTAGCCCGAAACAATGATATAATGTGTCAAATGATAATAACCGAGACTGAGACATAATATGATATGCATGAACAAGACTGAGTATAGAGTATCAATGAAACTAATGATATGACAGTAAGAAACGACCACTTGGGTCTCAACAGTATCGGCGTGAAGCCCTAACATGGCTATTAACATGATTTACATCTCATTAACTTATTCACATAATGACAACACAGATATTAGCAAAAAAGAGTCACTAAGCGGTGCCATGGAATGATCTAGGCCGCAATTCTCATGGTGCATGCCTACACGTCCGTCACTTGGCATTTGCGTCACCTCAATATTTATCATAGAACAAGTGGTTCGGGGTTTCGAACCCTCAGAACCAAGTTTGGAAGCGTTACTTACCTCAAACCAAGCTAAAACTCTAATCCATGGTGCCCTTGCCTCTCGATCTGGCCTCCAAATGCTCCGAATCTAGCCAAAATCAGTATATTATCATCAATACACGCTAAAGGAATGGAACCCACATAAAAATTATCAAATTAGACCCAAATTCCTAAATTTGCTCAGACCCGGCCCCCGGGCCCATGTTTCAAAATCCAACAAAAATCGCAAAACTAGAAACTCCTTTCACTCCCGAGTCTACACATACCAAAATCATCAAAATCGGACTCCAAATGGTCCCTCAAATCCCTAATTTAATCTCTCCAATTTCAAGCCCTAATCCACCAAATTTCTTCCCTAATTTCCCACTAATATCAAGATTGAACAATGGAATAATCGTCATAAACACAAGATACAAGGCCCAAGTAGCTTACCTCACTGAAAACACTTGATTCCCTCTTGAAATCATAGTCCCCAAGCTCCAACTCGTTCAAAAATGGTGAAGAAATGGCAGAAATTCGCGAAGGTGAACTTATATACTTTCTGCCAAGGAGACTCGCACCTGCGGTCAAACCAACCACATCTGGCCTAATACTCGCACCTGCGGTCACGCAGGTGCGCTCCTCCTCTCGCATCTGCGGATCCTTGCTTCTTTGGCCTTAAGCGCTTCTGCGGTTGCTCTAGCGCTTCTGCGGACCTCGCACCTGCGATCCTCACGCCGCAGGTGCGGATATGACAGCTGAAGGAATTCTTTAGCACTTCCTCAAATCCCATCCTTGATCCGTCAACCTCCCAAGATCAACCCGAGGCCCTCGGGACCTCAACCAAAATACGAACAAATCACATATCACCATTCAAACTTATTCCAACTTTCAGAACCCTCAAAACAACATCAAATCACCCTCAGATTCAAGCCTAAGAATTTCCAAACTTCCGAATTCCGCAAACGATGCAAAAACCTATCAAACCTTATCCGAATGACCTAAAATTTTGCACACGCGTCACAAATGGCTCAACGGACCTAGTCCAATTTTCGGAATTCCATTCCAACCCCGATATCAAGATTTCCACTGCCGACCGGAAAACTCCAAATTTCCAATTTCGCCAATTCAAGCCTAAATATACCACAGACCTCCAAATTACATTCCGAACACGCTCCTAAGTCCAAAATCACCTAACGAAGCTATCCGAACCATCAGAATTCACATCCGAGACCTTCTACACATAAGTCAACATCCGGTTGACTTTTCCAACTTAAGCTCCTAAATTAGAGACTAAGTGTCTCATTTCACTCCAAGACCACTCCGAACACAGAACAACCAATACGATATGATGAAATACGCTGGAAAACACATAAAGAAGCAAGAATGGGGGAAACGGGGCTGAAACTCGTGAAACGACCTCCCGGGTCGTTACATCCTCCCCTTCTTAAACAAACGTTCGTCCTCGAACGTGTCAAGAAACATACCTGAAGCCTCAAAGAGGTGTGGGTATCTGCTCCGCATCTCCTACTCGGTCTCCCAAGTAGCCTCTTCCACGTGTCGACCTCTCCACTGCACTTTCACTGAAGCTATATCCTTTGACCTCAACTTTCGGACCTGCCGCTCCAAAATAGCCACTGGCTCCACATCATAAGTTAAATCACCGTCTAACTGAACCGTGCTGAAATCCAAAACATGAGACGGGTCGCCAATATACTTCCGGAGCATAAAAACATGAAATACCGGATTCACACTCGACAAGCTAGGTGGCAAAGCAAGCTCATAAGCCACCTCCCCAATCCTCCGAAGCACCTCAAAAGGCCCAATGAACCGAGGACTCAATTTACCTTTCTTCCCAAATCTCATAACACCCTTCATGGGTGAAACCTTCAGTAGATCCTTCTCTCCAACCATGTAAGACACATCACGAACCTTCCTGTCAGCATAACTCTTTTGTCCTGACGGCGCTGTACGAAACCGCTCCTGAATCACTTTGACCTTGTCCAAAGCATCATGTACCAAGTCTGTACCCAAAAGCCTAGCCTCACCTGGCTCAAACCAACCTATCGGAGATCTACACCGTCTCCCATATAAAGCCTCATATGGAGCTATCTGAATACTCGACTGATAACTGTTGTTATATGCAAACTCTGCGAGCGATAGAAACTGATCCCATGAACCTCCAAAATCAATGACACAAGTGCGCAACATGTCCTCCAATATCTGAATAGTGCGCTCGGACTGTCCGTCCATCTGAGGGTGAAAAGCTGTGCTCAACTCAACCTGAGTACCCAACTCTCGCTGCACGGCCCTCCAAAACTGCGATGTAAACTGAGTACCTCTATCTGAAATGATGGAAACTGGGACACC